GTCAAATGCCTTTGCATAGTCAATGAAACACAGATAAACATTCCTCTGGTACTCTCTGCTTTCAGCCAAGATCCATTTAACATTAGCTATAATATCCCTAGTACGACAGCCTCTTATACCAAGTATAAGTTCCACATAAGCACAATCAAGTGTCCTGGGATTCCCATTTCTCTCAAAGTCAGCCACAGATTGTTGTAACCCCCACAGTCAAATGCTTTTGCATAGTCAATAAAACAGAGATAGACATTCCTCTAGTACTCTACATGGGAGGCTTGGCTCTCTGAGGAGAAATGTGGCATCAGGATTGGAGGAAGACTCATCAACAATCTGCATTATGCAGATGACACAACCCTGCTTGCTGAAACTGAAGAAGACCTAAAGCGCTTGCTGCAGAAGGTCAAGGACTGCAGCCTTCAATATGGATTGAAGCTCAACATCAAGAAAACAAAGTGTCTCACCACTAGGCCAATTGACAGCATCATGACAGATGGTGAAGAGATTGAGATTGTTAACAACTTTAGTTTGCTTGGCTCCACAATCAACAAGCTTAGTATCAGCAGCCAGGAAATGAAAAGACAAATTCCATTGGGGAAAGTCTGCTGTCAGAGACATTTCCAAAATACTGAAGAGCAACAATGTCCATCTGGAGATTAAAGTGTGCCTGATTCAGGCCATAGTCTTTACAATTACTTGCTATGCCTCAGAAAGCTGGGCAATGACTAGGGATGATAGAAGGAGAATTGATGCCTTTGAGCTGTGGTGCTGCAGAAGACTGTTGAATATACCATGGACTGCTAGGAGAACAAACAGGTTCATCCTAGAGAGGGTGAGACCAGGGTGCTCCTTGGAGGCAAGGATTCTGACGGTTCGTCTGTCATACTTTCGAAAGCTTCAAGGCGAGACCAGTACCTGGAGAGGGACATCATGCTTGGAAGGGTGGAGGGACAGCACAAGAGATGAAAACCTTCAATGAGATGGATTGCTTCAATGACTGGGGTAATGGATGTAGGTGTGTCAGAGGCAATAAGATTGGCACAGGACAGACCAGGGTTTAGGGCTGTTGTACATAGGGTCACTATGAGTTGAAGGCAACTAGATGGCACATAGAAACAACATAATGGCACAGCATAAGGCAAGGTTGCCATCTGTTGTTCAAAGGGTTAACTATGAGTCTAATCAACTCAATAGCACTTAACATAATTTACTTATGTTTCTTGTTTAGTATCTACTATTATTGTCTTGTATCTATTGCTTATGTCTACTGCCAAAATAACAAATAAATCTGTCTTGGGAAACATGCAATCAGAATACTCCTTTGAGTCAAAGATGGTGCTACTTCATCTCACATACTTTGGGCATGCCAAAAGGAGACCTTGGAAAAAAGATACCATACTGGTAAAAGGAGAAACTCATAAAATATAGGAAGACCCTCAACAAGATGGATTGACACAGTGACTGCAAAAATGGTGCTGTATAAAACAAGTTTCAGATGTGTTATGCATTAGGTTGTTTTGAGCTGTAATCAACTTGATGGTACTGAACAAAAACAACATTGCTTATTGTATAACTTTCTATGGAAATTTTAACTATGTTCACAAATACTTTGTTAGAATTAAGTAGAATTTGACTTCTTTCCTCTTGGTTGTGAGTTGGACTTACTGACGTGCTTCCAGTAAATATGTGAGCAGTAACAGTGTGTTACTTCTGATGCTACATCACATTAACTATGAGGAAAATAAGCATTAAGGTGTCCTTTCTCTCCTTCTCTTCAATCAAAAGGAAGCCAACTGTCATGTCATGACAACACTCAAGAAGCATTATAGACAGCTCCAGTTGCCAAGAAACTGAGGCCTCTTTGCAACAAGATTCTTCATCAATAGCTACACCTACACAGAAGCTGATTCGTCCATTCCAGTGAAGCCTTGAAATCACTATAGTTACAGGTGACAACTGACTACAATCTTATTGTTGTTGTTGTTATGTGCCGTCGAGTCGTTTGCAACTCATAGCGACCCTATGCACAAC